TAACGTTGCTGATTTCCCCACTGTCCTCCTGCCACCTTGGCTGGGTGGTTTATAGCTCTAATCCTGTTCTTTATCTTCCTGTCCCCTTCTCTTAATGATTTGATTTTGTCCTTTCTTTCACAAAACCAGACCTCTTGAGAAACTGCATACAGAAGTGTAGTTGATAACTGGTGTATTTGGGCATGCCCATCAACATGTGACATCCTTTACTCCTTACACTGTTTCTTCTGGTGCTTTCACAACACATACATTTCCATTCATTGTTCATTCAAACTATTCTTCATAGTCCTATTACAGAGCTCTACACATCTCGTTGATCATTGGGATACAGCATCCTTTGCCAAAGTACAAGCGAGTTCCATAATCACTTTGGATTCTCTAGTCCTTGAGAAGAAGAGATATATCATAAAAGCAGTAGGATATGCTCTGTTTTGTTGTTTTTCAGCCTGAGGAGTCACTACAGTGTTCCCCTTCTCCCCTGTCCTCCTGGTTAGCAAATACGATTTTAATTGTGTGGAACATCCAGAGAACTGAAGAGTCCCTGTTGCTTTATGGCAAACACTGTACTTGAAGAAATTCCTGTGTAATGCCTTCTTTGTTTATCTTTTCTGGCCTTTTATTAGTTGGAATCTTTGCATGAAAAATAGGATCTTTATGCTCCTTGTAAAAGCATCACAAACTAAGGAAGAACTAGAAGATACTGACTTCATTAGCTTATATTGTAATTAAATGATGCGAGAGACACAGGAAGGGTTTGTATATATTACACACATAATAAGCAGACTAGATAATGTATTATATAGGAAAAATAACTTTCTCTTGTAAAGAGGTTGGAGGACATTTATTTTCTGAAGAGGCATTATCAGTGCTAGAAATGTAAGTTGTAATATCTATTCTGCAATAACAGCTAATCTTTTGAGAGTAGCTAATCTTTTGACTGGCTCAGTCATCTACAGTGATGTGATTTTTTGGCTTTGACTTTTTGTTGGGGCTGTGGGTATTCTGTTTCCTTGGTCAGTTTATGTTAGCTGGTTGATTGTTTTCCTAAGGAAATTCGTGATGATGAAGTGAAATAAATTGAGTTACTGCTTAAATTTAAAAAAAAAAAAAAAAAAAAAGGTGAGAGTGGAATAATTTTAAGTCATTATGTTCCTTTTTACAGAGGATTTCTCTTTCTTGTTAATATATGTGGGTGATAGTAGATTATGTTTCTTTCCTATTTACAGAATCTTGTACCTTATGATTAGCCTTTACTCTTCCAGGACTAAGATCACAGCTAGGAAGTGATGCAGCAACCTTTCTTTTATTGGAGCTCAGGTAGAGGAAAGGTCTTTCATTTCCTTTCCCAAACTCTTGATATTTGGCAAACAATACAGAAATGATTGAAAGCAGTGTGTGAAAAAAATTAAAATAAAAGGGTAAAAGATATTTTTAATGCTTCTATTAGTTCTGTCTTTTTTTTTTACAGAGAGAAAGGGTGGCTCAGTGGTATGACCTTTCCCTTCTGGGGCCTATTTTTGCAGTATAATTTAGGTCATAACTTTTTAGAACCTACATATCTGAAGCTAGATGCTAATTCTAGCTGTATTAATTTTAATTCTGAATTTGAGACATTGTAAGACCTTGCTTTACAGAAGTATTGAGTACACACAACTTTTGTGAAAGTCTCCAAGTGTAGAGCCTTGTGGTATTTAATACAAAATGGGCATTTTTGTTCATAGTTTGGTAGAAGAACCCAGGTTGGAAGGGACCTCAAAAGATCATCTGGTCCAGTGTGTTATGGGAAAGGGAGCCTACATGAGTTTTCCTAGCACCCTGTCCAGTCACATCATCTTCGGGCTTCATAAAAGTGGGTTTATTAAAAGGTAGACATTCCACAATGGCAAAGCATATTTTTAAAAAAAGTATTTAATTTTGGACTTTAGACAGTATTTTCCTCTAGACTACAACCTTTGAAACGACAGTTCATTTTGCACTGAAACTATTATTACCACCTCCTGTTTCTGCAGAGTCAAAGAATGATGAAATGAATAGGCCTTTTTTAAGATACTGTGCTTTAGGGATTCGATAAAAGATAATGAGAAGACTGTCTTCAATAAATAACTAATAGTCTGTCTTATATAATTTGAATCTAAGTTTCCATTTTCCTTCTATTTCTTTGGTTTAGGTTTCCGTTTTCCTGTTGCTTTCCTAAAAAGCAATGGAATATCTCTCAGCCATTGTATTCTATCTGTGGAGGATTTGAAGGTGAATGATGTACCCCCTGGGTCAAGACGGTATTTTCATGCTGCCTAAGTGTGAGAATTATGGGTGTCTAAACTAATAATCTTAGCGCCAGACTTAACTGTGAGTGGGGAGGAAAGTATGAACTGAGTTAGCGCATAAGGATGTCTCACTGATTTGCAGTTGCCAGTTACCAAGGGGAATATTTTTAACAATATGTGGGTATTACAGAGATGATATTTTTACTTAGCAGGAGCTTGTAAGGTCATTCCTATCAGCTTCATTAGTGTCCTTGTTCCTTTTTCCATCACCCTGTCTGGGTAATGAAAGGTAGTGCTAACCTTATTCTAGTGCTTTATTTGTAAAACACCTATTCAGGCTGTAATCTTCCTTTCTGTAATTCTCTGCAGACCAAAATCAGATGCTATCTCAGGAACAGTGATGTTAGCTCAAGTGTTTAGGATTGTACATAGCTCCTATCTGAGGCTTCACTTCTTTCTTCCTCTGTGACCACAATCCCATGTCACAGCTCTGGTGCGGGGTCTGAAAAACATGAGACTGTTAACCAAATAATAGAATTTATGTGTGTATTTTCATAAGACTTAGATTGTGAAAGTCAGCTCCGTAATTCATATAAAGGATGATCTACTTAGGTGTGTGTAAAGGAAAAATGTGAAAACAAGTTGGTTTGTATTAGTTCTGTAGATTCTTCGTGCCCATATATCCAAGACACTTGCTAGTGTTCCTATTCATATGCATAATGTGACCAGCATTAATTTACTTAAATCAACCCACATAAAGTTGGAAGGAAAGAACAAGATTATTATTGCAATATCAATTTTTAAATATTGTAAGCATGTGCATTGTCAGTGGAAAGGATGTGAGTAGGCAGGTCTGTATTGGCTTCTTTTGTAACACTGAGCAGGGATGGACATGAAAAGGTCAGACCTTCGTGATCCTTAGGGTAGAGACTGCAGCCCTGCCTGTCCCCCAGCACAGAAAGAGCATGGTTCTTTTGCTTTTTGAATATCATCATCCAGAGCTGTTTTGCAGGTGTTTTCTGTCCTAGCTTTTTTTTTTTTTTTTTGACTACAAGTATAGGATAATCTTGGACTTTCCTGTCTGTGATGGACTTCCTCCAGCTCGTTAAAGCTGGAGTTTATCCCTCAATATATGTGTAAACTGCTGTGAAAATTGTCTTTTCTCTTGGAAATGATGTTTCATTTATTTCCCAGAGCTGAAATTCAGCACTAAATACTGGGCACATGCCAGATCATAGGACTGCAAAATAGTTTTGAAAAAAGCCTTTGTATATTTTAAAATGTTTGAGAGGAAAAAAATGTAGTAACTCTAAGTGTGACACCAAGAACTTCCTAAAAAAATACATCCTAAATGGTCTTCTCTTCGAAAAGTTAGTTAAATGCAAAAAAACCAAAGGAGAATTAAGAAGCGGTATCTTCTCAGTTGGTAATTTTTCACTCCGTACAGTGTTCAACTGTGCCGCTAAAGAATGTGTCAGTAATTGGGAGAGACAGCAAGACCCTTGGAGAGGTGGTCTGATCATGGCATGAAGGTTCCAAGGTAATAATGTTTTAAAGAGGAATAGCTTCCAGTTAAGGTGGTGGACTTGGTCTTTGAAATCCGTTTTTCAGTTCACATTTCGGACGTGGTCTGATTACAGACAAGGCACCTGATCAGTCTTCCTTGATACTCTCTGTACTATGGGAGATCAGAATATTGTCTGCCCCGATAATTTCAGTTCGCAAAGTCTGTAGGGGGAAGACCTCCCTGTGTTTGCACACCGTTTCTCAGATGTGATGCTCCCATGGTAAGATCCATAGGCATAATTGTGCAAGAAGAAGTTTCTTGAAGCAAAAATATAGTAATCTTGCCATTTTGACTGCAAATAGGTTTATGTTTGCACAGCATTACTGCGATCTGCAGTATGTGAGCAAGCCAGCTGCTCACTTCTAGGACTCAGTGGGCTTTTTTTCTCAGTGCCTGGCAACTGTATGTTTCTCTGCAACTAGCAAAATGTGTGTCATACTTATTATTGCCTACCGTTGTCAGAGATCAATTCATTCCCACTTCCCTTTCCCTTCTCCCCTTTCCTTGAGGTGCCAGGGATGATTCTTCTCATGTAGTCATCTTGCTAAACACTCTGACATCTGCTGTCTGACTGTGGCACTGCAAGGTTTCAGTGTGTGTTGCTGAACAACGTAAGCACGTTATGGACTGATATAGCTGACTTTCATATGAAACACCCTTTTAGTAAAAACTCATTTATTTTCTTGAAAGCATTTAGAACAACAATAACAGGATGTGTAATTTCAGTCTGTCTTAGTTTAAAAATTTCTCTGAAGCACTGAGAGTTGGAATACGTCTAATTCCTTTCATTGCCACCTTTGAGGAAATAACTGCTTAGAACTGTAGATTTGAGGGGAAAAAAAGCGTTGACATTAAATAATTTCTCTTTACCTCCTTTGCTTACTGTATGTGCAAAGCAGGAAAATGGCCCAAATAATCTACCTTTATCAAGTACCTAATTAGCTGAGCTGTTATGCTTCAACATAAGACAGGTTATGAATGGGATGATAAAAAAGGAATTCTTTTATAGCCTAATTTTTAGATGAAGAAAAAACTTACATTTGATCACAACCACTGATTCTCCTGACAGTGCCACAGCCTGTGAATTCTTCCTCATTAGTACAAATATGTGAATTTTTTTTTTTTTGCAGTTCACATTACGTTTTGTGTGACTTTCGGCTTTCCTGCAGCTTGGTGTGGTACAGCTCTGTCCGTGTCAGCAAATACCAAGGACCAGTAGGAGTGAATTTTCAGAGTGAAATGGCAGGTGCTGAGAACCTGATACACCGGCTGCATTCATTCAAGGTTTTTAAATTAGGCCAGTTACAGTCTTGTCCCAGCAGCAGAGCATCCGTAGTATCCTTTAGCATACATGCTTGACTGCATCTTCTGTTTTTGTTTCATCCTAAATTCGTGCTTTCTCAGACTACTCCGTCATGTAACTTCAGGAATGCTTGAGGAGATTGTGTCAAAGGCATGAAGGTATTCCTCCTTTGAATTAAAATGCTGATGTAAACTCATTCATTGACTTCTTTCTCAGCTGGAGCTGAAACTGCCTGTTTTCCTGCTTTTTACCACATTGATGATTCACCAAAAGGAATGGAGATTGAATTTCTGGGACATATGTCATGGTAGCTGTAGGGTTTCAATTGATGATGTTTCTGCTATTAGCATGCTGATTGAACTTTTTTCACCATAAACTTTTGAATTTTTATACCTCCAAGTCTTTTATATTACTCACATAGTGAAACAATTTTAGATGCTCTTATCCAAAATCTCTTAACCTCACAGATGGCACTAAAAACTAAACAGAAAATCCAGAATGTCAATATGAAAAAAAAATCCCTAAAAAACACCCAAAATGTGTTGATGTGATTCATTAATCTTTGTTAGTGGCACTTCAACAATATTATTGAGCTACTGTGGTAAAATATTAATGAGGACTGAAGTATTGCTTAGATGAGATATTTTCTCTGCAGATAGGCTTTCTGGGTGCTTCTCCTGACTGTATCATTGACTTGCTATGTAACTTACTTTTTCTTAAATTCTTTTTTCTTTTTTTTTTAAGACCCAAGGGCCCTAGAAGACATGTAAAGACATTTATTTCAGAGAACCTGGTATATTAGTATCAGGATACATTACAGGAATGTTAGAAATGCTAAAAGAAAGTTGAGACCTTCAAATGAAGGCTGAGAATGGCTAAATAAACCTGTTGATACTGCTGAAGTATTTTAGTTCTTTGGGAGAACATAATTTTACTATTTGTTACACTATTTCAGTGTTTCACATTTTTTGAAGCCTGATAAAATTCTGCTATCATTTCTGTGCAGTTTTCCTCCTGAACTCGTTTGTGTAATTATTTGCCAGCATCACCTTAAGTATGAGAGGACACATACAGTATTTGATAATATTATTTAATATAGCTTTGAAGATGACAAAAAATAACACAAGATGTATTGCATGATTAACGTTACTTCTTCTGAAGTGTTTAGACACAAGAAAGACGTGATTCAGCCTATAAAGTTCTGCTTTACTTCGTGCTACTTGTTATCACAGAATGGTTTGGGTTGGAAGGGACCTTAAAGACCAACTAGTTCCACCCCCCTGCCACGGGCAGGGACACCTTCCCCTAGACCAGGTTGCTCAAAGCGTCATCCAGCCTGGCCTTGGACACTTCCAGGGATGGGGCATCCACAGCTTCTCTGGGCAACCTGTTCCAGTGCCTCACCACCCTCTCCGGGAAGAACTTCTTCCTGATATCTAATCTAACCCTCCCCACTTTCAATTTAAACCCATAACCCCTTGTCCTGTCACTACAGGCCCTTGTAAAAAGTCCCCCCCAGCTTCCTTGTAGCCCCTTCAGGTACTGGAAGGTGCTATAAGGTCTCCCCGGAGCCTTTTCTTCTCCAGGCTGAACAAGCCCAACTCTCTCAGCCTGTCCCCATAGCAGAGGGGCTCCAGCCCTCAGAGCATCTTTGTGGCCTCCTCTGGACTCACTCCAACCAGTCTATATCCTTCTGATGGTTGTAGGTTCCACAGCTGGACGCAGTAGTCCAGGGGGTAGAGGGGAAGAATCCCCTCCCTCGACCTGCTGGCCACACTTCTCTGTCTACAGCCCAGGATACGGTTGGCTTTCTGGGCTGCCAGTACACACTGCCGGCTCATGTCCAGGTTCTCATCCACCAGTACCCCCAAGTTCTTCTCAGTTTAGTTCTTGAAGTTCTAATATCACTTCAGCTTTCATTTAAAAAAAAAAAATGGAAAAAATCCAGGTTTTCATAGTTGCCAGTATAATTTTAGATAGAAACTTTTAAAGCTTTCTAACCTGAAGGTGCTATTTAAGAAAATGAGAAGAGCAAACCCTTCTTTCCCTCCTCAAGCTGGTGAGGCCTCTTTTCTTCAATTCTGGGACACCTGAGGTTGTCAGGCTGCTAATGCTTGTTGTTAAAATGGCCACTTAGGCAGAAATAAGACATATTACCATAGTTTAAGGGGCATTTTACAGGAATGTTAATGCCATTTTCTCTAGCATATTTTTCACTCAACTATACATTTTTATAGTCTTCATCCCTACTGTCCAATTATCTAAAGCTTCAATTTCTTATTTAAAATGGTACTTATTGTCGCTTTCAATATATTTCACTGTCTCACTCTTTCAAAATCAGTTTGTAAAAGTCTTTACCTGTAAAGATTAAATATAATTTTAAGGTCAGCTGTAACAATCTATATTAACAGGTTTCTTTAATCTATTCAAGTCAGTTTAAAGAGTAAAATATCTTCTAACTTCTGTCTGTGAGCTAGGAGCTAATACATTTCACAGGTTTTCAGATGTGAGGCATTAGTTCACTTCCTCGCACAATGCTTGAAGCGTACGTAAACTTTACAAAATAAAAACAATTAACATCCATATTTAGCACTTTATCAAGTTGCAACCCTTCAGGAATAAGTGTATTTTCTTCTAAAAATTATCTTATTTTAAAGGAGTTGAATCAAATCAAGACTATTTCAGTGCCACTGAAATACAGAGTCAGTGGTATGCGCTTTAGAGCTAATGCCTGTTACTGAAAGAAACTGCGTCACATTTTTTTCTGCTTTCACAGGGTATGTTTTAGGTTAGGTAAGAGATAAAAAAATACAGTTATGGCCAAAGAATCAGCCACTTAGGACATGATTTACCCTGTAATTACAAAATTATGTCTAAATATTTAGTAAATGTGAGATCATACTATTTTTAAGACTGTAGGAGACATTGTTAGCCTGTTAGAGAAGACATATAAGTAGCTTTACATCCCTCAGTAGGTCTGTCTCTCATATCCAGCTTTGTCATTCTTAACACACTCAAAAACTGCATTTGAGCTGTCTTCACTTGATGTACCAGAGCAATTTCTAAGAACTGGAATGCAATTTATGTTTCCTTTAATAGTGTGGCATAAAAAATACTGTCACTACAAGGTGTGCCTTGACAAGGCAGACACAATAAGTCTTATAATTCTGAAACTTTTTGAACAAATATGGAAAAGTAATTGAAAACTTAATTTGGTCTTCAGAGTTCTAAAGTTGTAAGTTGCCTGTAACATAGATGCAGTATATATATTTTCCCAGCAATTACTGGTGAAAAAAATACTCTGATTTGCTATTTAGCTTGTGTATTCCAAAACTAACGTTACTATTATGAACTGTAAATGATGACATTGTCAAAGTTCAATCCATTTGATTCAACTATATTTGCAGAATTTTGAAATATTCTTACTGCAGTTTCATTGTTTTATTGAAAATACAGGATTTACCTTCTCTTTCAGCTGTGCAATAATATGTAATCACTGCAAGTATGTTATCTATCCATGGTTTTTATCTTCAGCAGTCAAAAAAAAAAAAAGTCACCCAAGCCCTTTTCAGCCTTTTTTTTTTTTTTAAATCTTTTAATCAGTTGAAAAAGTAGTTAATACAATCTTGGCAGGAAACAAAACTTGTCCTACCAAAATGTATCCTTAAAGTATGGGTTAACCTTGGAAAAAAACCATTATGTAATTGTCAAAATCACCCAGTCTGTGTGAATCAGTATAGCTAATAATAACGTGGTACATTTTTGTTAATACTATGGACTATTTTGGTTGCCCTTTAAATAGCTGCATTGTTATGTCCTATATTTTTGCATCTCCTAGCAACAAAAAAAGTTATAAAAAGTTTTATTTTTAGAAGAGTGCTAGAATTGTTTTCACAATCATTACATTTTCATGCTGTCTTGCCGACAGTTCCCCATGAGCAACTAAGCAATAATCACTACAGATCACTGCATTTTATGCAGAATTCTCTTGTCTGTTGCAGTACATATTGAGGTTTATCTTATCTAGTTGGTGTAGCATTGGCCTTGTGATCAGTATCATGATCCCGGTATCTGTACTGGTGTAACTGAATGGACCCCCTTTACAGTCATTACATCTGCTGTGTACCTGCAGTTTACATGGCCCCTAGATTCTAAATATTGTGTCCCATGTGGTTGTGATAGAAGATTAGATTTATGACTCAAGAAAATATAGACCATCTGTAGATAACAAAATAGACATTATAACAATTACATTTATAATGCCAAAGACATTGCCTGCAGAGGGCACGTCCTGATCTGCAAGCTGAGGTGGGCAAGAGCCATAATTCACAGCATTTGGTCCCTCTAGAGCAGCCTGGCTGCATCTGTGTTGCATGACACGTTTTGCTTAGATGTCCTTTGAGTCCCAAGACATTGTTATTTTTCTTTCTTTATACGATTCAGAAAAACTGCTGCAGTTCACCCAAGTCATGACATGACGTAAAAGGTGTGTGTTGTTTTTCTCGAGGCATTGAATGATGGCAGTGCCTGAAGGCACCAAACTCGTTATAGTGGTCAGGGAGCCAGGAGCAATCTCACTCATGCTGTCTGTAGGGAATGGTCCCAGTAGTGAATTTTCTTAAAAACTTCCCCTGATTCTGTCTCAGAAAGTCTTAGCTGGTTCACTCTGAAAGAAAGCCCTAGGAGCCATGAAGTGTGTGGAGAACCTAGCAGATTACAGGTCAGGAACAAGAAAGGGAGCAAAGTTGTTGAATAGTATTGGTACACACGGGGTTATTTTAACTGCAGCTCCACTGGTTAGACAAGCTTTTCTTTAAAATGTGTTTGATATCAGTTGAAGTTACATCAATATATATTTGTTTGTATAAAGATACATTTAAGGATCTTTCAGTTTTAACATGTTGTTAAAGTCTAATATTCAGAATTATTGCAGAAGTAAGTCTTCATTATAGAAAGCTCAGAATTCCCTTCAAAGGTGTGA